CTCTAGCTTCGGATGTTAACAGCTGGTTCTTACCTACACATGCCAAAAAAGCATTAAAAAGTTTGTTCTTCAACATGACGTGAGTGGTATGCCGCATATATTCTATGCTTAACACGCACCTAGGCCAGACTAACAGGTACCTAGACTGGAGGTGCCTAGACTAGAATCTAACATGTACTTGACAAAACAACAAAATCATGTTCGCAAATCTTACACGGCAGGAACATAGTCCAAATCCCCATCGTTACCGTCAACATCAAACGAAGCTTTATAACTCGCATGACGAATGTGATTACTCGTTGAAGCGCCACTTTCAGACGCTGTCGCACTATCTGCGTAATGGATTTCACTATCAGTGTTTCCATCAAAGGTCTTGTTGACGTACAGCTCCGTCCACACAGGGCAATGATTGGATACAACAGAGTTCCAGTTCCAGCCATCTGGAATGCACGGATGTTGCAAGCCTGAACGGATCACTCCAGTTTCACCTAAAAACACAGTCAAGATTTCTGCTTTATTATCTGGATATCATGTGCTATTAAAATTACTTGACAACTTGTATCGATTTTCAAATTTAAAATAAATAGATTTTGATATCTTGTATCCAGTCATATGTTATTTTGCATGAAAATAGTGTTCTATAAATGGGATAATGTTAGAAATATTTATAAAACAAATGAATCTCCCCATTTCATTTATCATAGAAATGCATCAATGTGTTTGATTTCATTGACGGTGAATACAGATAAATAGCGACAATTCTGACAATGTATAATGTCGAAGCAATCGCCGAATAAATGAAACCTTGACTGAAGTTGATGGTACTATTCCATCTCTCCATTCTCTTCACAATTATAAATATGAATGGAATTTGAATCAATCCAGCCAATTGGCCAATGAAAACTTTGCATAAAAACAGGACAAACAAAGGTCATAGCGTCGTAGTGGCATCAAACATCGCGTGGGATTTGACAAACGCGAAAATATTTTAGGGGCATTTCCATGCTTAATAATGTGCTGTACACATTTGATGATAGAGAATTTTGATTAAGTGAGGGTATTCGAAAGCAATATTCCTCTGTCGAAGATCGGCTGGTCGGCTGAGCTACGAAATAACGAAATTCAAGTTCAAAATCAAATTGTTCGATTTTTGCGGCAGACGTTCGACACGCGTCTTTCATGCATCTCACGAGATCTCGCAGTTGAACGGAAAATAACCTATTTGACACAGTACAAAAAATGATTGAATTATTCATGTGTAGGGCATACAGTTCCACAAAATGCCCAGGTAATAATTACAAATATACTCTGAAAATCAAGAGTCCTATTATGGAAGAAAACACAATTATAGATGACTGAATACTACCGTAAAATCTGTATTAGAAGCTGCATCTCTAATAAAAGTCGCACCCATTCTTTTTGAATAATTGAGAACCAAAAATTCACAATTTCTCATATGTGTAGATACTTTAATAGAAGCTCTTCTGTTGCATTGTACCATTTTAAGAAGCCGCAGCTTCTAATACAGATTTTACAGTACTCAGAGTAGTAGCGCTATTTCTTACCAGTTTTTACGTCTTGCAGTTCTTTACTAATCCACATGTTATCATGGCAACAAGAACCGTCTAAATCAGTTCGTGAAATATTTGTAAATAAAGTGGCTGCTATACTGTTTGTAAAACCTAAATTCTTCAGTATATCAAACTCCGATACTGTGGGTTCCGTGTGGAAGTCACCCACTATCATTATATTACTCTGCCCTGTAAAAAAACAAAAAAAACAAAAAAACTACAATAAGAAAATGCAGAAACGAGTTAAACTGACTCAAATTCTCATTACTTTGAATACAAAAGTATAAAACTTTGAATCTTTCATAGTGTATTGCAGCATGGGAAATAAAAACACAGAAGACATCCACAACAAATAAACAGGTCATACCAGTCTAACACACTGTCGTGCATAATTTAGTTAATAGTTTCTTTTCAGGATAGCATTACTATCATAAAGAATTTGGGGTAATTTTTGGGCAAAGACAGATGAGCAACAGTGAAAATGCTGATATTACCCTGAAAATTACTTCTGTTTATGTTAAACAGTTTGGCCATGCGTGATGCTACCCTCAAAATGGCTTATTCAGAGGCAAGTGTTCTGTGGAGACGAGCTAGGACACCAGATGGTACATGTTGATTTCATACACCATACTTGTTGGCCAATTCAAGACAGCCACATTACAATGAAAGTATGTCTCCAGGTATGCCCAATAATCGGGGTAGTATTGTGCATATCCCTGACTTTCTCTTATGTGTTACTGCTGTTAGCTACACAACACAAGTGTGTACCATATACGATCAACATCTGTTCAGACAATGAATGTGGCTATTTGATTGGTTGAATTATTAATGAGCCGAGTAGACAAGTTTGTTTATTCAATTGAAAGGAGTAAACGGAATCCCATGAAGCAGCAATTTGAAAGGTGATTGTGCCGATGATTTCACTGTTATCTACCTTGGTTTAGGCTTTGGATGAAGGTGCTTTTTGCTGCAGAGCACGATTAACTCTGGTCAGTCTGATTCAATTTAAATAACATTGTGATGGTTTTATTTATTTATTTAGTAAGCAGATCAACAGACAAAAAACCCAATTACAGATCTGGGATGAGGGAAAGTTTCAGACATCCCAGGGCAATCCGCTACTCGTTGACACATGGATGCTGTGTTTGGTTTTGTTATGTGCACTGAGGACAGGAACAGCTAATGGCAACAATTTCACGTCTCCTGCCACTGGTTGCCATATATCCAACCCTAAATGTAGCCTAGCAAGTGTTCAGCTGACCACGGGAGTAGAATCTCCAAATCCCCTGATGCTTGGTGGACATGCTAAGCTTCAAGCCACACACACACCAGGGTTGCACCACAATATAAGCATGTAAGTTACCGGTAGCAACTCAAATAAACAAACAGCAAAGGAGGCTTTTAACCTGCAATATTCCTAATACAGTCATCTAACTTATTTAGGTGTCGGTAACATGTTTGTGTGATTGGCTACCTTTCGTGAAAGGTCATACAAAATTAAATTATGTCACTCACAGCAGAACTTCTGGGGAAAACGAAAGAAATTATTGTTAATCATTGTTACCTTGTACTTCAGTTTGGAGAGACTCAATGAGATAGGGTAGTTTTTTGACATCACTCTGAAAAAAACAAAAAAAAAAACAGACATGTACTGATAAGAAATAAATAGAATGGGCATAGATTCTAGGTTGATAAATTCTCAATATTTTTTTATCTGTATTGACTTCTCATATATATGCTAATACATGAGACTCATAAATTTCTATGTGTCAGCACTAGCACTTGCAATTTGCACATACAAAAAAAAAGTCAGGAGAGACAACATTCAATGTTCGGAACTGTCGCCTGGCACGAAAAAACTTTAAAAAAAGAAAAAAGAATAACAAGTCTATAAATAGACATATCGGTTGTAATAATTTATTGTCCTTGTACCATAGGTAACAGCCTGGAATATTTGAAAGCCTGAGTTATATAATAAACCACGTTTTCAACAGCTGGCTATAAATTGTGAAGTGAGGAAACACCATCAGGGTTATCCGTTGTAATATGCTTTTATTTTGTGAAAGAAATCTTTGTAGGTTTCATGAGCCAGTGAAAATTACAAATGTTGGTTAGCAGTAAAAATTGGGAGTTTTTGTGAAATATAAGTAATTCTAATACATTGTTAAACATCAAATATTTCTAGCAGCCAAAAATGTTTACACTGTAAATTAAAAATGTAAACTCTTAAAACAAAATTCACAAAATAAACTGACATAAGTTTTTTCCCAACATTTTTCCAAAAATTGTCATAGGCTTGTAGACAATGGGAATATCCTTTTGGTTGAAAATTTACAATGAAATTATGGAAAAACTCATACAAATTTGTGAAATGTTGCACCAAATACTCAAAGGTTCAAAGGGTTAATGAAAATTGAAGTGTAAGGGAGTATTGAAAACTTCTATTCTTTTTGGTCACCATCTTGCGATCTAACAACACC